ACACTGAACCATTGCGTTCTGTTTGTGTTCCAGCAACTGTTTTGGGCCAGCCCCCCTGTCCGTCACCCCAGTCCTGTTGTGTTCCAGTAACTTCAAATTTACAAATTAAGCACTGTATATATATATATATATATATATATATATATATATATATATATATATATATATATATATATATATATATATCTCTCTCTCTCTTTCATATATATATATATATATATATATATATATATATATATATATATATATATATATATATATATATATATATATATATAGTGTGTGTGTGTGACTTAAAATATAAAGTCTAGTTTTTCCATTATTTAAACAAAACTTAAATTAACATGTGGTCATTTTCTCTGTGGAAACACTTTCAAAATACATTCATTCATCTTAAACGGTTTGACTTTATTTTGAAACTCTGTGATTAACATTGATAACTGTTATAAAGAATTGTATTTTTGCAGTTATCATTTGATTTAAAACAGTGCGCTAGGATAAGAAGTTTTTTTTTACAAATCTATCCAAAACAAGAGATGATACGGGCAAGAATTAGCATAACGTTTTTTGCATGTCACGAATAGCGGAAACAGCTTTCGAAGTAGGACATTTCATAATAAAAGTCTTTCTGATTTGTAATATGTCACACTCAAAAACGTATAATGGATTGATTGGCTCTACACTTTACGAAAATTAGTCTAAAAAACTGCAGATTTATGCAATGGTCCCTAACTGAATACTGTATGATGTGAATTGAACACAGAAACCTAAATGTTGATTTTTTAATATTATTGGACGAAAGGGAAGAACATCAACTAATGTGTAATCTACTTTTTATAAACGTTTATCCAGAGCTTAATGTTTAAATCTGGCTCAATTTGTTTCAAATGCAGATTCCATTTGTTATAAGTTTACACAAATTATTTGATTTCTTAATATTTGAAAAAGCCATTTATTGTCGACTGTGTTTACCCTTTTGAATCACAATGACAACAGAAACAATCTAAATGACCCCGATAAAAAGTTTACACACCCTGGTGATTTTGGCCTGCTAACATTGTTAAAAACATGCTTTTGCGTCCTCGTCATTCAGATTTTCAGAAAAGTGGTCAATTAACCAGAAAATTTGCCAGGGTATGTCAACTGTGATTTTCTACCTGATGACGCATGAGAATAAACTTATCTAGCAGAGCTCTCTGGGTTGAATGCAAAACAAAAAAAGTGTATATATATATATATATATATATATATATATATATATATATATATATATATATATATATACACCAACATCCAGTTAAATTTAGCAGTTCTGCTTGGCAACACACATGAATTGCACACATCCCCTTTACATTTTGAACAAAATGGCCTCCAGCAGTTTGGTTAAAAGCACAGCTACTGTACTTTCTGTCTAACCGCTGGCATGTACGAGTGCAGGATGCATGTATTTCCATTCAGGTATGCGTTCATCCGGATCTCCTGAATCACAAGTTCTCGTCGCTCAATCCTCTCCATCATCTCAGCAGCCTCTGTGGTGTAACCCACATCTTCCCAGCAGTAAACCTTCCTGCCGATCTCTGACAGGTTGGAACTGTCCATCAGTGACTCTTCCTCATCTTCATCTTGGTTCATTGGTTCTTCCTCTTCTAGGTTTGCTGTACTGCTTTTCTTCATGAACGTTACAGACGGATGTAGATGTTGACGGCAAGATAGCCGAGTCGAAACCGCTACTAGAAGGATCAGAAGGCCCACACAAACGCTTGATGTGAAGAGCAGCCCTGCTGTGTCCGGATGCTCTGAGAGAAGAGTTTGTTCTACGGTTAACGGTAAGAGGAGAAAATGGCTCGCTTGTACTTACAATCCAACACTAAAAATCGTATTGGCCCATTTGACAAATTATTGATTTTAATTGATGTAAAGGACATTAATAAGGTCTACTACACAACATTGATTCCAAATGTTGAACTGAATTTGAATTGGCTGTGAACAGAGAAACTCAAGAACGCTAGATCATAAGCTGATGGGACAAAACCAAAGGGTTTAGTTAATTTATAAAACAGCTTTTTGTCACAGGGTTTTGTCATATTTTAGACTTTTAAGACCTATATATAATAATTGTTCTCATCTAAATTTAAATCACTGTAAAAAATGTGAAAAAAAAAGAAATGACAAAAGCCTGTGTGTTTCTCCACAAACACAATGTCCCATAGACATAGATAGAGGAACAGAATACATTTGACATATGGACGATTTGCTTCCTTAAATAACATTAGTTATTAACGATAAACAAATGGGATCAGCAAATGCATAATGTCTGGTTGTTTTTAAACATATAAACGTGTGTCATTCAAGAGGCTATATTGTGAATCGATTACGTTTTTAGTCAAAATATTCCCTTTAAAACTAGCATTTTTGTGATTTACAATAACATGTTCAGCCCAAACATTTGTGTGTTTTCTAGAGGTTCATCTCATGAGTGAATCCATTGGGAAACGTTACTGTTACATAACAATTGCGCATTTTTTTCATGCAAAACATTAGCATTAACACTAGCACTTTAGTGCCGTCAACCGATTAAATAGTCAACTTTTTGCACTTAATAGCGAGATGTAATGTAAATAATTACGTAAACTCAAGATAATTTTAATTTTATGCTTTTTAAGACCCAGCAGAAAGCCTGTTTATTGAATTCAGCAGTAGAAAAGTCTGAGTTGCTGAAGTGTTACTTGCGATGTAAGAGCTCTCTATCTGGATCTTTGTAAAGAAAAGCTGAGAATATTAAAAACAATTGGTTAAAGTTCGACATTACCTGTGATATAACCAAACGCCTTTAAACAATCGCTGGCAATAATCCAGTTCTCTGGTAACTTTGAATTCCTGATCACTGGAACCCCTGCCAAAAACAGAGTAGACGTCATAAATGTAAATACTTTTACTACATGAAATTAACGCTTAAACGCAGATTTATAATGCCAATATTTCCACTATGAACTTAAATGACAGTAAAAGTATTAAAGTATTGCATGTGTGAGCACACGATTTCACTTTTCCGAGTTTTTGTGTGCTGTGTCATCACCTTCCTTGGTGCTTTGGTCCGGAGAAGACGTAGTCAGGAAACTCCTGGGGTCAGCCTCCTTGAGTAAACTTTGTGGAACTGAAAAACACAAACGGTCAACAGCAGTTTCTGACTGAATCTCTCTGAATCTTTCCATGTGAAACTGATGAGTAATCCTTGTTTTTCCGGGGAAATGATTGAACCTCCCAATCAGTAACAAAACACTGGCACTTGAAGCAATCGCAGGAAGTTTCACAGGAAGCCCCAAGGCCTCCAAATGCCAGGCGCATTGACTATTTTTATTATCAAACAACTTTTGGCTTTGTGTAAGTTACCAGAGAAGGAACATGTTGGTAAATCCCAAGTTTTTTCCCACACAACGGATGAGGACTCGTTTCCTGATTAATATCAAGACATAGCACAAAAGGTTTGTTGTATGTGCAAAAAAAATACTGTACCATACAGCTGAGCTCATAAATTCATGTTTGTTTTTTTTTCAGTGATGCGCTGACATTTCTAAATTCTGAGCGATGGGGAAAGCAAAAGAGCCGTTAAAGGATCTACGGGAAAAGGTAGCTGGTTGTGAAAATCCCAATAGATCAGCAGCTTCTGGAATATTCAGACCAGCAACAACCATACCACTTTCAAAGTCACTTAAATCACTTTTTCCCCCATTCTGATGCTTGGTTTCAACTGCAGTAGATCATCTCGGTTACGAAAACAGGAAAGGGATGTAAAAAAGATTTCCAAAGAACTGGGATTTTGATTAAGAAGTGCAAAGTGAGAGATTCTGTAGAAACCCAACCACAGTCGGTTAGACCAACAAAAAAAATTCTGCTACAACTGACAGAAAAATGTTTAGGGGATGCAAAGAAAAACAATGATTAGCTGTCCTTCAGCTACAAACGCCATAGAGTTCAGGAGAAACGGCATACCACATGCATAGAGGACAGTGATGTACTTTTTCGTTCCAGGAGGGCAGGGGTCTTTGAAATGCTCCCCATCCACGGTAAAGAAACACCTCTGTTTGGCATAGCAGATGCTGGATACCACATCAACCGCTCCATGATAGAGGCATTCTGTAGTAAAAAAAAATTATCCTTCAATTCAACAATGAAATAAAGAGGGTATGCATTGAAGTCACGCCCTTTTCGCTGAAACTGCGTGGCGTTAAGTCAAAATTTGGCCAGAAATTGCATTTCCTGACATTTATATGTTTCTGATTTCAACACAGGGAAAGTACACAAAAGGCATATAAAAACTTGGATGCCTGGTTGTACTGCTGTACGCTGAAAAAAACGCTGATCATTTAAAATGCTTTAAAGGAGTGTTTTGTACCTTTTTGTTTTGGTACTTTTTGATAGTAAAAAAACAGCACGAGGTTTAACCAAAAAGAGGTTTAACCATCATTCTGACAAAAGCTTCTTGAATAGGACTCAAATAAACATAAAAAAATGTTATTTTATAGCCGTTATTTTTACTCACTCCGTGTAAAACCAATTGGACCAGAATGATTTAGACCAAATAGGTGTCATGACCCAGCACAGGGGAGCTGAGAATTAAAGGGTCAATGGGTTGAACTCAAGTGCAGGAGCAGCGGGTTACATCTTTATTAAAACACAAGGTACAAGGAAAGAAACCTCCCTTGATGTGGGCAAACACTGAACTAGGTGAGAACTAAAAACATAAAATAACCTTTTGTTATTTTGTGTTTTTGGTTCTCAGCCAGTGTTTTTAGTTTCAGATGCCTGGAGTTCTCTCTCAGGTGGGGTAATGTTGACTGCAGCAAAGAGGTGCGTGATGATGTATAGACAAGAAGGAAGCACGAAACAGAAAGGGACACAGCTGAAAGAAGGCATTACATTTACATTTATGCATTTGGCAGACGCTTTTATCCAAAGCGACTTACATTTGAATTAACATATTTTTTTTTTCTGTCAGTTCTTGGTTTTGATGGGATTTGAACCCACAACCTTTATGTTGTTAGCGCAATGCTCTACCAACTGAGCCACAGGAAAGCTAAGAAACAAAGATGGAAGGCAAGGAGCTGGGAACACATGAGAGAGGAAAACAAAGGAACATGCTCGCAGAACACAAGACAAGGGAACCAAACATAAACAAAAGCATTAGAAAACACAGTGAACACAGGAAAAACTCCTGAAAACTAGGATAAATTGGATACTTTAGTACCGTACACCAGATATATAACTATATATAACTGGTAGAAAAACACATAAAGATTCGTGAGTCCAGAAATAACTGGAATACAGCAGCTTTCATTCCTCGGCAATCCATTTTCACTGCTAAAATAACGCTGAAATCTTTGAAAATGGTTTCGGGCAACAGCTTTTCCCAATTTTCAGCATGTAAACCGGTAAAACTCCCATTAGCACACGAATAGGCCTTTTGCCACTCACTCTGGGACTTCTGAGTACCGTGACATCATGTGCATACCCTCTATTAGATGCATATTGCAGGTGTTATAATGCTGTTTACATAGAAATTCTAGTTTCATTCTAATAAAGTGGATAACATCTAACCATAGGGTGGAGGTTTGTGTTCCACCGAGGGACAGGGGTCCTCCTCCTCCAGTAGTCGACCATAAACAGCAGAGTAGATATTCAGCACTTTAGGATGCTTGCAGTGCAGCAGAAGTCGATCTCCTTCACACGTCACTCTCTTCTTGTGCTCAGCTGCAAAGAAAAAGCTAGTTCTCAAGTAGACGAGCGAATATTTTACGGGGAATGCGTCAATTGACACGTTAAACGAGGAAATACTTACTAGGTTTACATCTGTATGTTACATGGACGTATTTCGGCGTTCCTGGGCAGGGATCTTTCCCAAAGACTTGGTGATTAACTAGAAGTTGGCAGTCTCTGTGACCTTGGCATTCAGAAATCACTTTCTAAGAGAGGGATAGAACGCGTTATACAAAAGCCAGTAGCCTCCACCTGCTTCTGGAAAACATGCAGCTTTTCTGAGCCAGAAGTGAACATGAGCAGATGCCACAGGTGTCTAGCCTTTCAACAGAGACTCCTTCGGTATGTCTTCAGTGTGGGAACATATGCTGAAATTGGGTTGAGCAAGCACTTCTTGTTTCGAAGTAGGCCGCGTGGTTTTCTCTCACTGTCCAAAAACTTTGCTTCCTTTGAATTGGTCCTGGTGGTTCCCAGAGGCACTCTGTCACAGTGTTTATACGCTCTGCTCTAAGAAAATGGACACTATTCAAAGTCCTGTTCTCGGTTGTTTATACACTCACTGGCCACTTTATTAGGCACACCCGTCCAACTGCTCGTTAATGCACATTTCTAATCAGCCAATCACACGGCAGCAACTCAACGCATTTATTCATGGGCAACGCTATCTGCGTTTAAAAGCATCAGAATGGAGAAGAAAGGGGATTGAAGTGTGTTTCAACGTCTTCACACACAGCCATCTCTAGGGAACAGTGTATGTTTGTTGCGGTAGGGTCAGAATTTGCCGTGAATAACAGGAAAGCATGGATCCACCCTGCCTTGTATCAACGGTTCAGGATGGTGGTGGCACAATTTTGGCCCATTAGTACCAATTGAGCATTGTGTTAATGTCACAGCTTCCCTGAGTATTGTTGCGGTCCATCCCTTTATGACCACATCTTCTGAGTAGAGAGTAGTCTGGTGGAAGAGGAGATTTGACAAATCCATGATGCTGTCATGTCAAAATGTTTCCATCTGTGATTAAGAATTAAGGCAGTTAAGCCATTAGAAAGGTGTACCTAATAAAGTGGCCGAAGAGAGTGTATATATATATATATACTGTATATTTTCTTCCTCTGTCTTCAGTTTTTCTCAAAGAGAAAAGCTTTTTCTAAACTGCCTCTAAAGCAACTTCCTGTGCAGCACTAGATGACTTGTCATTGGTTCAATCAAAATATTTAACACTGCACTGAAATATTATTTTCAAACTTCATATACAAATGGAATCTTGTAAATGATGTTGACTTTGCAAGCTGAGGTTCAATATAGCCTGACGATTGAATATAGACGTTGTCGTAAATACTGCAAATGGGACAAAGAGAACTGTAACTAGGACTTTTGTAAGATTGTGAATAATTATGTATATATTTATATACAATAACATTTGTGAATGTGTAAATAACTCAACAGAATTCTAACAATGTTGCAAAGAGTTTAAACTAGGGGGGTTGAGACACTTAACCACTCCCTGTATCTGCTTTGTGTTGCAAAGGTGTTAAAGCGATTACCATCCGCATCTGTGATTACTTTGGTTAACAATGGCGTCTGCCTCTGAAAGATACACCAGATTCGATTACTTCGTCTCTGAGGAACGCCATATATGGTCACGTGGTCTCTCGAACATGCTGTCTGATTTACATTTCAACTAGACCCCCCTGTGGGAGTGGACTTGGATCAGGATAGTATTTGAGGAAGAACGTAAGAGGAGCTCGCAGTCTGTTTGTCTCTGAACATACCCATGATCTGGAAGGCTTAGAGTCTTTCCAGATCATGTAGTCTTTGCTATTGTTTCACCTTTTCCTGTGTAACTAAGTGTTTGTTAATAAATGAGATGTTCAATCTTGTCAATATTTACTCTCTAATCACTTTCTAAAATAATGTTAAATGCTAAGAACTAAAGTATCACATTATGTAATAAAAGTTTAAAGGGTTAATTATAACAAGAGAGTGCATTTCTCTAATTATTAACACTTATTAATACATAGTTTACTAAAGCTTCAATCAACGCTAATGATAAAGGTAAACAATAACCTTCTTATTAAAATATGGAGTCAGATAAAAGTTAAATTCAATAATTAAAGTTCCCGCAAGCTCTGAAAGACAGAACACGGCTGAGAACCTTCATCCATGGTTGAAACCCGTTTTTGGATCAACCCATGGACCAGCCTTACACTTTTATGCTATGTTCAGGTAGGTATTTTTCCAATTTTCTTTGTCACTCATGAACCTTTCCCCCTCACCCTTCCCCAATTCCTTATCCACTCCCTGTTCAGTCCAACGCCGTCTTCTCCGGACACAACTGATATAAACTGACTCGTGGGAACCACAACTAATAAATATTTACATACATTCAATGTTCCAATCCAGAGGAGAAAACACCACACCAGGTGTTTTACTCCCCTGGAGAAAGCAAAGCATTTACTCTCCCATGTGATGGCTTTTGAGTGAGACAGGACACGGTAAAAAAAAAAAGAATATAGACATTGATGGAATGAATAAATGCCATTTTAAAAGAATCGTGTCAAGGATTTATAGCATTTTGTGAAAAAAATATCCACTTAATGTTTTGAATCTAAATAAAGTTTGGGCCGATGCTAATAGAGACTCAACTCAATAGAGACTTTCAGATTCAACAGTATATTCATATACCTCCACAGCTAACGTACCATTACTTTATGTTTAAATATTTTTACATAATAGTTACCTGAAGTATTTGAGAGACGTTTATTTAATGATGTGACTATCACCTGAAGCACGGTGGAAGCTGAGCAGCTGTGATTATTCCACTGGCATCTCATTCCTGTGGAGATGCCAGGATGGGTCTCACTCTGACCATAAAATGCAGACTGAACAGTAATGGTGGAGTGTCGCGGACACCTGAGGATCAGGAGCTCCCCATCACAGGCTTTAGCTGACTGACTGGTGATGATCCGAAGCAGATAATCTGTAGAACCATATTAAAATGTATTTCTGTGGAAATTTGCAATACACACTGTGTAAAAGCAGTCGTAAACATGTAATAAATGTTATTTCTGATATTTTCAACAGTTCTAGATAATCAAAACATTATTTATTGGAGATTTAGGAGTCATTAGTTCTAAAGCTGTCGTATTATGTCCTTTTTAAAGGGATTATAAAAACATGCAAGCAATACTCTGAATAAAACTTGAGGCATGTTTTTTTGATGAGGTAACAATACTAAAAGATTCGAGGAATGTCGGAAAAGTCATCATAACACTGTGCATTTGTAGCGTATAGACTCATGTTAGTAAGTGAAGAAAAGAAATACTTTTAGAGTAATTTGGTAACTACTTCTTAGTATCAAGAACCAGTATCAGTTCTTTTAGAAACACGTCAGGGATTTTCACGGATTGTAGTCAAGCGTATGATCAACGAATTCCACCAAACAGGTTCTAAATATCATCAATGCTGCTTAGTTTTTAACCCAGCCATGAACTGAAACAGTTCAATAGGAGGCTTAAAACTGAGGGAGCAACTGACAAACTCTGCACAGCAACAAGAAACAAGGTAATTACACCGCATCAACAAGATCTCTCCCAGATAAAGATTTCAAAGCAGACTGGGGTTTTACGCTCTAATGAAGAGATGAGGATTGTAGACGCATTTAGCAAGAGGCTTAAGGTTGATCCCCATTTGAACATGAAATACATCCACTAGGGCAATCAGCTCTGAACTGGCAAAGACCAGTGGGACCCAGGTACACCCATCTCCGGTCAGAAGTCTGCCAGAAGAGGTCCTCGTGGAGGAGTAGCAACCAAACAGTTCTATCTCCGACATGGGATCAAGATCACGTAAAGTATATATATATATAATATTATAATAATTCTAAATTGCTTCAGAAATACATTTTATTACTAAGCAAAGTGTACTTTTTACTATTCTTATAACAAATTTAAGGTTTAAGCTATAACATAATAATAAATTGATTAAAACTACACAAAACGTGTCCCCAGTCTCTTCACCATAAAATGTATTAATTAAGATCTTTTATGTGTAAATATATATACATGTTTGTTTCAAATACATTTATTTACACACACATATCTATTCTTTCTTAGATTAAATAAAAGATATTAGTCATGTCCCCAGCTTTTTACTCATTCCTGTTATCTTAAACTCAACCCCCCCTTGAAAAACTGGGGAATCTCCATTAATTTAGTTTTTCAGCAGGAAGTTGCATCACTTGGATCTTTAGAAGGCCATGGGAAGAGCAGTCATTTAAAAAAATAGTTTAGAGATTCAATTAGTTTAATGTTAAAATGCA